GGGGGGGTCAGCATGAACGCTTGGGTAAGGAGTTATTCACCACGTGCCTTTCAAGAAGATGCACTATTGGGGCACGATTTGGGAGGGGCAAGCAAAATTGACAAACAAAACTTTTCTTGTACTTTTTCCTTTTGTTTTAAATTGTGGGGTTTTTTATATTTCTTAAGCCATTAAAAAGTGTATCATGATTCTAGTTGCTCGAGCCAGTAGTTTATCATACCACATTTTTTTCTTGACTTGGACAGTTCAAATTGTGGTTGTCCCAAATTCACCCCACTTTCCTCCATGAATCAAGCAAGAAACAAGATAAAATGTCTAATTACAATATCAATTGCACTGAAAATTCGTCAGTGTCATTTATTAAGCACCTACTATGTGCCAGTCCCTTAGTATATTTTATCTCTAATTGTGACAATAACCACACATTTATTTACTCATTTAGCAAGCATGGATTTAGCATCTATTAGGTACCAGGCTCTGTGCCAGATAAGACACAACAGGGAATTAAGAAGACATAACCCTGCTCTTGGAATTCAGTGGGTTAGTAGACATTAATCAAAACAAAAACACAAATATAAAAAGGACCAAGGGTTGCAAATGCAATAAAAAAGGAGTGCAGTTAGCTCCAGATTAGATAGAGGCACCTGATCTAATCAATATTGTGGCATTTGAGCTAATGGGTGAAGGATAAATAGAAGTAAGCTGGGTATAATGGAGACGAGGTGGGAGAGAGTTGGGAGGCATGTGTATACCCATTTTAGAGATCAAGAAACTGAGAGCAAAGAATGACCTCTTGTTCAAAAGTGATTGACTTGCTCAAAATCACACCGGAGGTTAAAGAAAGATTTCAGCTAAAATCTGTGGCACCTCTAACCCCATACACTGTCCCTTAAATTGTGTGGTCATTTGGGAAACTGTTGTGTTGGGTTATATGGAAAGGAAGAAAACATTCTTCCTTTGTTCTAGGAAGAGCATTTTGGATGCAACGGTTCCTTATGAACAGAACCATCCAAGCTGTGATTCTATGCCTTAAAATCAGGAATACTTTATAACAGGATGGTATTTCTCCCTGTCACTTACATCAACAGATTAAGACCACCCTCAACATTTGCCTGCAAGAAGGCAAATGAAGTTCCTCTGAACAGAATCCACCCCATTCCTCTCACTTCCCAAGTCTCCATCTGCACCAGGAGCAGCTCTGCCTGGGGTACATTCCAGCCCACACAGCTAAGCCCCCTCCAAATGACTGGCCTTTTGTCAACCCTCAGGCCCAGACATGTACACACTGGTGGCTGGATCTGTCATGGGGCAGACAGACTGGGGAGAGGTGTACATAGACCAGAGAGAGGTCTGGGGAGAAAATCCTTGGAGTCCTGGTTTAGGAGGAGTGACAGAGGCTCAGGCTTGTCAGATTCCCTGGATTACATGAACTACTCATCTTGTGGGGACAGAGTGTGTCTGGAGGAAAGACAGAGGGAGTCACTAAACCAGTCATTCTCTAAGTGCGATCTGTGAAGCAGCAGCAGCAGTACCTGGGAACTTATTAGAAATGCAAGTTCTCATGTCCCAACCCCAGACCTACTGAATCACAGGGGGCATTAGAACAATATCCTGAAAAATCTATTTGCACATCATAGTTGGAGAAGCCTTGCAAAGCCCAGGGTTGAGGCCTGGGGCCACGGATGCCTGGATCTAAGGATGGTGCTTACACTCACTCACAGTTCAGGTTCTGACATTATATTCCTTCCTAGCCACTATGAAGACTTAGGAACAGGCTCTCCTGCCAACATCTAAAAACCTTGGTGACTCAGAGAATATGGGAATAGTAGAAAAGAAGCATCAATTCCAAAGCCTCACCAGGAATTTGCACTGAAACCACGGGACTTTTAATAAATGAGTCATGTATTACTTACTTTTTGCATATTTTCTCAGGGAAAAAAAGAATCATTGTGAAATTGGGACCTGATGTTTGAACCTTTCTTTTATGAATTAAAAGAAACATTTGAACTTGTGGTGTTTTCATAGTGTGGTGTGCAATGAGGAATATTATCATTAAGAGTATGCTGCTGTGAAAGATAGTATGTACTGGTGACTGAAAGCATTTATATGTTCTGATCATTATATTACTGTGACTCAGAAATAATATTCCTAGTAAGTTGAAATAGTTTTATTGTGGCTGACTCAGTAGAAATTCTTGCGTCTACAAAAACTCTGTCAAAATAAAAAAACAAATTTACAATTCTCTCCTTTTAGCTAACTTTTGTTTGTGTTTTTGTTTTTCTGCCAAAGTACTAAATACCTTGGAAATACCTCTTATCTCCCATCTCCCAGTTTTCAGAAACTTCAGGATCACACATTCTACTGAGAGCAGATGTAGAGCTCCATTGCCGAATGGAAGGCCCTGAGTTTCTCACTGACCCCAAAGACCCTGTGAGAGCTCAAGGGGAAAGGCAGGGTGGTTGGATGCATCATGAAGGGAGCCTGAGAGGACCCCTAGCATCTGGAACCAAACTCAAAGGAATTGAAAGCATCTTAGTCCTTGAATGTAGTCCTTGACTCCTCACGTCACAAAGTCATAGAATCTAAGGCTTCAAGAGATTTTTTTTAAAGGTCTTCTAATCTACCCTGCCTGGGTAGCTCAGTTGGTTAGAGCATTGTTGAGATACACCAAGGTTGTGGGTTCCATCTCCAATCAGGGCACATATGAGAACCAACCAATGAATGCATAAATAAGTGAAACAACGGGTAGATGTCTCTCTCTTTCTCTCTCTCTAAAAAAAAAAAAAATCAGTAAATTAATAATAAAATAAAAGGTCGCCTAATCCAAAACTAAATTTGTTGACAATATACAGTACAACTGCCAAATGATTAAGTAGACTCATTAAGAAAACAAATATTCAGAGGAACACAGCTCTTTGTAAGAGTGGCTCTGAAGTTTTCACCCCTTGGTTTCAGATCTACTCTAAGAGGTAATTTAATATACTATCCTAGCCATAGCCTTGCTGAAAGTATTTTCAGCTATAATATGTGTGTACCCCAATCCCATCATACTCTACACTTATACTCTACTCTCAAATAATTCTACACTTCTCAAGATAAATATTCTCATTTCTATCACCACTTCCTTGTGTATTACAACTTTTTGACTGTCTCATTACTCCAATAATGAGAGTGGGCTTGCACAAGTATTTTTTTCCCAAATACAAGTTGTCATTTATCTTTGTTCAGTTTTATCTAGGCTCAGCTCTTTTATCCAGACAGTCAAAATTATCATAGATACTGTTTTTATATTTCTCTTACCCTTCAAATAGTAATTATGATGAGTACATTTTCTCCATCTTTATCCAAATTATTGATAACATAGTTGAAAAAAAGTAGGTTGAGGACCAAGCTTAGGTGAGAACTTTCTTAAGACAATAACAATCCCTTCATCAGCACACATTGAACAGGCAAGCCAACCACTGACCAGTGTCCTGAGTTATCTGCAGTCAAACTATGTCTTCATTGTGTTCCCAAGAATTCTATGAAAGATCCCAATAGTTGCCTCAATAATCTTAGTTTACAAAGTAAAACTTGGGCTTTCACACCTTTTCTGCCAACACCTACAATAGTGCTCAATACATATTATATACTCAGTATGTATTTCTGGCATGAGTAAATTAATTGGAAAAGATGCACTGTTTGAATAATAGATATATGTCAACAAAGAATTTAGGTGATACAATGGATTCTGGATCAGTTTTCAGATGGCATTTGTAAACTTTACTATCCTATTGACATCATATAGATACAACATGACTCTAAATAACACCAGATCCTTTTTATATATTCCTAATTTTTATTAATCATATCATTTTTACCTAATTCCTATAGCCATAATTGTGAAAGCTACCTTTGGTTCCTCTCTACAATTTACCTGAATTATCCAGTCAATCCTTGAATCATGTTGATTCCTCTTCTCAGTAATCTAACCTCCCATTTCAACATCTTTACTTTAACTTTTATTTGTACACTATTGCTATAGACTTCCAACTGGCCTTGCTACATTCAATCTCATCCTTTTGTGTCTACTTTTATCATGCTCCCTAGGAGATCTAACATACAAATTTCACCACATCCATTTCCTATTGAGAAATGTTTTAATAGCTTTCCATTGTTTATAGAATAAAGCTCAAGGCCTCTGCAATTTCCTACAAGACACTTTATGTTCAGACTCTGTCTCCATAGTGCATG